TTCTGGAAAATCGCATCAACAAATCAAGCGCAAAACTTTTTAATGAGGCCAAATTTCTTAATCCATGCTTTTTTTCCTGACTTTTAAACTTTTCTTTTTGTATTTTTTTTTGCGTTTTTTGCATTTAATGCGATTCTTTCCGTAAAAGATCAATTCATTCCGTATTTTCGTTGACGAATTTCTTGGTATTTGAGAAATCGAACAGATTATTTGGCAAAATTGTGGAAATGCAATAATGGGTATTCATTACCGATACCGATTACCGTCTTTTTTCCAAATATGGCAGTCTCAACAAATAGTAATGGAAAAAAAAATTAAGCATTAGAGATTTAGTTATTTAGCAGCTTTTATCTAAAATAACTATGATTTTAGCGAGCAGCTGAAAATTAAAATATCGAAACTAAAAAATTTAAAAGGTTTAGGTCTTACTTAAGTCTTTCCGACAGCACTTATAAAACAGTGAAATTAAATAAATGGAACTAGTTTATGGTTGAATAAATCCAGAAAAAGAGTGCCTCCTTAGCTTTTTATATAGCCGAGAAATCTCGATTTGACTTGACCTCATTTTATAGGACCTCCTGAAACACTTTTTTGTTTTGTTTTTTTCACTATTCCTGGTTAGGAATCATTCCATTAGCTTGTCATAGCAGGCTAATTTAGTCCGGAATCATTTAACGATAGGGAGTGTTTAATACTGCGGATTCTATCTCTACCAGGTGTAGAACCCCAAATGTTAGACTCTGGAGCCAATCAATCGCTTTATTACATTTAGGACAAATTCAACTTATCGTATGATCAATGATGCCTCTTTTTAATCTATTGCTTTTCTTCATTTATTTATTTAGGATAAGTAGATTTTCTGAATGTCTATGGAAATTTTCTGGACATCTATGCGAATGTAAATCTTGCAATTCACTGAATATAATTCAACTATGAAAATAACTTGCAAAAGGCTTATTAAATTTTTTAGAATTTTAAATAAATCCTTGATCAGTTATCATTTTTTATCATTTTCTATCATTTGCAAAAAATCGAAATTTGAAATGTTGCAGATTTTTGTTTGTCTAAAAAGAAAAGTTTTTTTTATTTCCTGGATAAATCCAATGTTTTTTCGTTCGTTTTCAGTTTGATTAATTGCATTCAATGAATAATTTGAACAAGAATTTTTTGAAAATAAATTGCTCTAATAGGATTAAGAATAAATTTTCTCATGAGATTATATGATTTCTAATGAAAAGGCTAAATTTCTTTTAATCTTATCGCTTGAAACTGCTCTTTATTTATTTTGGTTTTTCATTTAATCCTAGGAATTGCAGTTTGGAGAAAAAGAAAGGGACAGCCAAATAGTATGTGTTGCTTCAACTGAGACAGGATAGGACGAGTTTGCTTCTTGTGATCATTAAAAGTGAAATCCAGGCATCCAGACTAAAATTCACCTGCAATCTGAATGACTCTCCAGCGAAATAATCTCATTAGTGAAGAAGGATTGAATGCTTCTTAGAAGAGGATGAAGAATTTCAAAAAAAATACACAAAGAATAGGAAAATTAAAATTTTAGCAAAAACCTTTCAGAAGAGGCGTAGATAGTATTTCTATACTTGTAACTACTCACAAAAAAGAGGTCAGTTACTTAGAAATAAACGATATTAGTTCATGATGGTACTTCATGCTCATTATATCACTGTTTACACTAAATTCTTCATTATTCCCCCATAAAAACCATTTATCAAATTTTTTTATCTTAGTTATAGTGAAATAATCGAAAATTATTTCCATTACCTACTTTAAATAAATGACTAATAAATAATTCCTGAAGAATAATTATTCTTTTACACAAATTCTTCATATTCGCAGTTCCATCAACTTTTAGAGATTTGGAAAGTTCCCGCAAGATTTTAGGGCAAATTTCATAAACTAAAATAATAATACAAGTCAGAAATATTATACAATCTGCTTCATAACTTGATTTTCATTTTCTATACTATTTTTCATATAAAAATCAGGTTAAAACTTTATTGTATATACTTTGTTGTTTATACTTTGCATACCTTGCAAGTCAAATTGCAAACCAAGAAAATTTACTGTTTTTCAAATATTCAAGATTTTTACTATCCGATATAAGCGGTTTAAGCTGTTCATTATTTCTAATTAGGCTAGTTCCACTGGTTATTAGAACAACTAGAAATGTTTGTTATGGAATAATTTGGATAGAATTATAGGAGGGTGACTAGCGACATCCAGATTTTTTGCTTTACTTATGTCAAAAGTATTAGCCGAGTTCTAAGTATTCGACTATTCTGCTATAAATACTTTCGTACTTTTCATAAATTAATTCGTATTTAGATGAAAATTTTTATAATTATATAAAAATTAATAATTTTAATAATAATTATAATTAATAATTTTTAATAATTAATAATTATAATAATTATAATCTTAATAATTTTACTCTTTGATTATTATTATTATTACTATTATTATTATTGCTATTGTTATTATTGTTTATTATTATTTATTATTATTATATTTTTATTATTGAAATAATTTTTCTCATTCTTTTTGTTTTTTTCTTTTTATGTTTCAGTCATGCGATAATTCAATTTATCGCTTTCTAACTTAATTCTAAAAATTTATTATTTGCATAACGAGTTTCGCGATAATAATTCCATTCTCCTTTTCAAAAATTTTTTTTTTTTTTAACGACCAGAAAATTATTTTAGCATTCAAAAAATTAGATTGGTGCATAGTGGTGCAATTCGTTAGTAGTTAGACATTCATTTGTGCATTCATTTTAGAAAACTTCTTTTTCAATTCTAAATTTTTTAATTTTTAATATTTTTCAAATATTTTTATTTTATTATTTTTTGTATTCTTAGTTATTTTTTAATTTAATTATTAAAAATACGATTTATTTATTAATAAATCATTTATTTAAATAAATTATTATTAAATTCATTTGATAGCATTCGCTATTTCTGATTTGGGCTCTCTTCATTGACTATTAATAAAATAAAACCGCTAACCGGAAAATCATTTGTGGATTGGAATGAAAGTCAATCGGCGCAGTGGATTTCGATTTAATGAATGATTTACTACCATAAAAGAATAGGAATGAAACCTATGCCTACTTGGCTTGGCTTGAATCCTTAGTAAAATTTTTCCGTAAATTTTTTCTTTCTTTTTTTTATTAATTAAATTCTGATCAAATTAATATTGCAGTTAATTGCAAAAAAAGAAGCATCTAATTTGAAAATAAAATGAGATAAGAAAAGAAATTCGTCGTTGCCTTCTCATTTTTCCTACTTATACTTTTCTTTTCAATTGAAGCTTAAAATTTTCGATTGAACACGGTTATAGGAGATTTATGAATCGTTTTGCAAAAGAAAAACCCCAATAATTTCATTAATACCGATTTAATTAATTTAATTTTTATTTTTTATTATTTTAAATAATAAATTTTATGATAATAAAAATTTTATTATCATAAAATTTATCGATTCTTTTTCCTTTTCATCCTTTTTTTCAACAGCTAAACCAATGACCAAATGAAACAAATCAAATCGGTGAATGATTAACGTTGTTGAATGAAAAAATGGAAGCATTCCTACCGGAAATTTCACTAGAAACATTTTAATTAACTATATTTTTTGGATTTTCTGATGATTTCTGATGCTGAAATTTGAATTAAAAATTTGGTGAATAAATTGATAATAAATTTTTTTTGATGTGATAAAATTCCCTTCCCCCTTCCTCCTTTTCCCCGCTTCCTCTGTTTATTTTATATAAATATATATATTCTTTTTTTTTTCATCAATCGTTCCGATTTTATTATTTCTATTTCAGAAAATTCGAAAAATAATTCCAATTCCAAATCATGGCACAGATTTAATTAAAATTCGATTAAATATGTTTCACAATTTTCTCTAATTTTCTTATGCGGAAAAATTTATATTTTTTGCTGTTTTAAGATAAAAAAAGAGTAGTTAGCACTCATTATCTCTGCTGCCACGGCTGGGTGGCTAATAAGAAACTTTTGTCAAGGAATCAGTATCACTGAACAATAGGAAAATAGGTATGCCGCTGGTAGAGCCGATTCTAGAAGAACTGGTGTAACATTGCGCAATTGGCCCCATATGTGATAAATAACATTCATAGGATTATCTGCTTATCACTAGGCGGCTGTTGTCGTTGACACCACACAGATTTTTTAGATGAAAGGTTTATTTTTGCTGCAAACCTTAGGAGCTGCCTTACCCTACCTAAACCACTCCCCATTCGGCTACGCTGACCTCAGTAGCTCGATGAGTTTTTTTTTGGCCTTTTTTAGTGAATCAATCGTATTTCAAGAAATATTTTCTTGAAGACTACTATTCGTTGTTAAAATGCTTATTTTATTGAAAAAATTTAAATAAATCGAATTATGACAACGAATTAATAATTTTTATAAAGAAAGGATATTACTTTATTCATATATTATTTGCTTTAAGCAATCGCATTTTTTATTATTTGTCGTAATTTGATGAATAAGGAGGAAATTTTTAGTATTTTTTATATTTTTTGAGCAAAATATTGCTGCAATCCTATTAAAGCGAAATATATTCCTTTATTTATTTTCGCCATTATAACTGTAAATAATTAATCGCTGGATGGTGTTTTTAAGCCTAAGCCTATATTTCTATCTCCAAATGATCATATCGCTAAAGAGCCAGTGGAACTAACCAAGCCGAAAACAAATTGCACTTTAAAAAAAAAATTCTCGGAATTCACTAAAATATATTTTAAAATATAGATTTTATTAAATGCTCTATTTATTTTCTTTTTTTATTGCATATTTTGTACATTTTTTCTTGTATTTTTTTCTATTTTTTTTTAGTTTTGTATTTTTAAAAAAAATTTATTTGAATAGTGAGATAAATTCGATTGGAAGAATACGAATTGACAAGAAAAGAATGATAATCGAAAGGAAAATGTTGGAAATGTTGATTAAATAACAAAATGAAATGATGATGAGTTCATGCTCGCCAATGCTTCCCATGAATGGAAATAATGAAACTTTAGTTATACCAGCTGGTGCAATACTTCATGAACGTTATAATCGGTTAGGGAACATTTTAAAAATTTTATAAAATATTAAAATTTAAATATTATTTATTTGAAAAAATTATAAAATGCAACAATTCGTAATATTTTTTGCGCGATTATACGTGAATATTTTAATTATTTTATTTTTAGGCTATTTGTAACTTATAGCCAAAGTGTATTTATTTTAGCCTTTAACCATTCATCATTTTGATTAATAATTTATGCCAAAAAAAATATTTTTATAAAATATTTTTGGATGAAAACCGAATTTTTCTGGATAAATCTAATATTCCTTTATCACTTTATCTTTATCAGAATTCATTATCTTCTGTTTCAACTTTTATCTTTTATTCGGTCGAATTATTTTCAGTCGCAAAGTTATATATTACGGATGTTGCCCAACTAAAATACTACTTGCTATCATCATAATTGTACATACGACACTACTTGCTTTTTGGATAATCAAAGGTATCCACTTTAAGCCACTTTGGCTAATGCTTATTAATTAATTCCATTAAAATATAATAGCGAAATTAAGAGCTAGTTTCATGAACAAATCTATGTTTTTTTCATCGAATTAGCTAGATTGTTTTAAGAAAATTTGGCCTAAATTAGTCTAACACGGATTAGTCAGAATCTATAGAATCTATTTTAATTATCCAAATATCTTTAGGCTATTTGCAGCTTACAGCCAAATTATATTCTAAGCTTTCGATCCTCACTTTGACAAGAGCTTTGCTAGATTTAACAAATAAATTTATAATTTCCTACAAATTTCTAATATTCGTGGATTTAGAATACTACTTTTTTGACTTCAAATGTGCCACAATAGCTCATAATGCTGAAACAACTACTGAAAATACTAAAAATACGACAACTAGTAAGGACGATTACATATCGGATAAAAATGGTGACTACAGAGAACGAACGGATCCAATAAAAAATATGAGTCATTTTCCGGTCGATTTTGATCGAAATCCTCGGAATCTTGAATATTTATTACCACCATATTTTCCAGTAAGAAATTTTTCACATTTTCATGTTGGATATTTATTTGATGTAAGTGAATTTGCGCAACATTTAAATCATATTTTCAAGCAAAATCAAAGTGTGTCACCAGCAACGACCGAAGAATTTTTGAAAGAGAGATTTATTCCTCCCAATGAAAAATATTCCAAAAAAATTTACGAAAAAAGTCAAAAAATTAATAAAAGACATAATTCGGCATTCAATTTCAAGGATGAAAACTTTATTAAAACGAAAAAATATAAAGACGAAATCTCCAAGGAAATACATCCGACATTGATCGATGCTAAAAATATACCTTTTATGATGATAAGAAGAAATAATAACCACATTGCTTCTCGACGAAAAATACAGGAAACACGGATAAAAGATGGAATTTATGGAAAAACCGTGGAATCATTCAATCATTCGCACTATATGATTAAAACCAATCTCTCATTGTTAACTGAAAATTTTTCAAATTTTCTATCTTCACAACCCAGTGAAAATGGACTTTCATTTGAGAATTTCAGTAATATAAAACAAAAAGCTAAAGTTGAAAAAAACAAAGCAAAGAATCGAAGATTGAAAAAGAAATTCGACCGTGGAACAATGAATAACAATCCAGAAATTCAAAGCAACGCTCGAAAAGATGCGAAACGATTAAAAAAAGGAAAGAAAGGAAGAAAGAAGGCTAAAGCTAAAAATGAGAAGGTAATCGAAAAAGGACAATTGGTTAAAAAAAATTTAGTTTCAATGAGAAGGAAGCAAAGTGGCGAATCTTGGGAAGCTGACGATCCTAAACCAACGCAGAAAAGATTTCATTTTCTTAGTGGTTCCAATACTATATCTGAACAAAAAATAAATGAAAAAGAAAGTTCATGGTTTCATGGAATAGTTAGTACAAATGATAAAACTTTCGCTAATAATGGTGATATAAGGTTTTATCGTGGTGAAATCGCTAGCAATAAGCCAACGAAAGAAAATTATAAATCAAATCAACCATCATCAGTACATCAATTAAATGAAATAAGCGATAAAAACGCTAAGAAAGTCAAAATTCATGAAATGGTCCGAAACGATCTGAACAATGTTGCTTTTAAGTCACAAATGGCAAGAAATTCTTCTGAAAATTATAAATTAAAAAAGAATCGTCAGAGATGGAAGTCAACTGAAGATGAACAATCAAATCAGCAAGCTAAATTCAAGAATCGAGAAGAGGTAAAAATATTTATTTGCTATAATAAAGATTATAAATGGAAGCCATACCGTCTATAAGCTTATAAATCCCAATTCGTAAATGCTTGAAATCTCTATTGGGCCATGTTGGTCTTTGATTAGACCTATCTTTCCAGCCAATTTTCATTAGGTTTGTCTTGTACTAAAATTCCTCTTTCTAAAACTTTTCATTTTAATTTTTCACTGAAAGAAAAAATTCTAACTTTTATCTTTTTCAGATTATTGATAATTTCGTTGATAAATCGCCGAATATTTCAGCAATCAATAAATATAACCAAAGTGTTGTGATAAATGGATATCAGCAATCAGCTATTAAGCCAGAAAGTAATTTTTTTCCACCCATCATTTATAAATATTCTATGCATTGTATCTCTTCTGATAAAATCCTATCAAATGTTTTAAGAACTCTCGAGAATCTTTTTTTGTAGGATTCGAAAAAATCGATACATATTTTTTTATCACTCAAAAACCACCGTCTGAAGTTTTTTTAAAGGAAATTGGTCATCAGTATTCTCCAGCAAATATAAAGATCCAAGATTTGCTGCCTAACATATCAAGGTTAATATTTTATTATTTTCTAATGTGTTAAAAATTATGATAATGATAATCGCATAAAATTTGGTCTCTCATAAAGTCAAAAATCATTGTAAAAATAAAATAATTTATTTTAAATAATAATAATGTGAATTTCATGAAAAAATTTCTTTTAGGAAAGAAAACGATGAAAGAGGTATTCATTTAGGAACTTCAACGAAATCTACAAATGATTATAAAACTTCGCCTTCGGTAATAGATTTTTCCCGTTTAATATTGCTATAGCTGACGAGGAATAATCCAGAAATCTCAAAATTTCCTTATTTTTCTATAACACTTGGCTGAATTCGGCTATATGCCTCTTAATGCTCCACTGAACCTCACTATACATTTCTGTAACGTCGCAATCACAAATTATAGAGTCGCAAAGGATAAAATGATAAGGAATGAGACCGCATATGAGTGCAGTGAGTATTCGAGAGTGCTGTGGGAAAATAATTTGATTAGTGCAAAAGTAACGCGGTATGAGGTTTTTAGAGATTTCTGGATTATTCCTCTTAGATCTTTAAGAAAGATAATAGTTTATGAAGGAAATTCAAGGAGAATATTCAGCTTTGAAGCTATACTTCTGTCCGTCGAGGATTTTTTTTCACTGTTATATTTGTCATTTTGTATCATAAAAATATTGTGCAATTTTTCTCCCTCAAGCCTTTCATTTAAAATTTTTAAAGGAACTATCAATGACGATGCAAGTATATATAAATAAAGAAAGAGGAAATTTTATCATCGAATTAGAAGAATTTTCCAATATGGCATTATGTGTGACAAGGTAATTTTCATGGTTAGCGCTCATCATTTTGATTAGGCTTACTTCATTGGCTGCTAGTGCCATAAGAAATTTTTGCTAGAAATCACTCGGTGATGAAAGTATAAGCGAGTCGCTAGCATCAAACACACTTTTAATAACAGGTTAATTTATGTCAGAGGCAGAGTTCGAACTCGTGTTTCTCAAGATGATAGTCTCAAATCAATATAATTTATTATAATTTTGTTATAATTTTTTAAATTTTTATAGAAAATTTCAAAGTGTTCATTAATAAAGTATTAGATCGAATGGCAAAAGCTATTTTTGAGATTGGCTCACTTCCACACTTTTTGTGCCCGCCAGGCTCTTATTTTTCATTGCTTTAATTTCTTATCCCATCGGTTATTGACGAAAGCAAAAAGCTACTACAGAGTTTGGATCAGCAGTTCGAACCATTTCGGATCCAATTCGAACCAATTTGTCTTATCAATTTTTATTGAAGTATCAGTGAAGGATCTATTAATGGAACGGAGATTGATAAGGCAGTTTTTATCGGTTTAAAATATACGTTGGTGGGAAATAATCGATTATGGTAATAAACCAATAGCACCAAACAATGATTCAACTCGTGCGATGGACAACGATGAACCAGCAAATGCTTTGTGACAACATTATTAATGCAAGTGGTATTTGAGCAAAGATGAATGCAACCATGTGCAATTTTATCCGCTCTACGGATCCGTAAAATCTTAGACATGATTGGCCACTGATAATTTCTTAATATCTTCCACTCTCATTGGCCAAATTTCGCGGCGATATATCAAGATCGAGAGTACTGTAGTTATATGGGCTCAGATTTTCACTTTTATGGTGATGTCGCGACGGTTCCATGAAGGTTTCATTAACCGAAAAAAAATAATTGTAACTGTCGTTATCCGGGCCACGATTTCATCCTTTGCCTGGCCATTTTGGATTAGAGTGGATCCAAGATATTTAAAGTCCAGCACTACCGGCAATGAATTGATAAAAATAGGTATTTTATCAGCATCTTGTATACAACACGAGTCACAGTCATAGATTCTTTTCGCATATTTTACTAATTCATTTAAATTTCCAGAGCCCTTTTCGATTTATGGTGTGTAGCGGAATGTATCACTGCGGTACCATTCTTAATAGGTGTTTGGTGTCCTTTAAAGTGCCTTTTCGCCGGTCATATTATATTGGCCACTTTACTTATTATTATTGCTTTCGTGTACAGGTAACAATGATATTTTACCAATAATTATTGCTCTATGTTCTAATTTGTTTTTATTAATTTTATGCAAATAGAAATTTGGAAAATTCTAAAAAATTCTAAATAATTTTTCAATAAATAATTTTTTTAGCTTAACTATTGCTGTTTATTCATTAATACTGTATGGATTAATACCAGAGATGAAGGTTTATACTATTTTATTATGGTTGGGTTTCGCTGCTTCAATTGATCTCTTTCTTATCGTTTATTTTATCGTTTTTATCATCACATTAAGGTAAATTAATAAAAAAACTTCATTTTTTAATGTCGAGGGAGTTAAAGAATTTAGCCTATTCTTGTATGATTCCTTAAATTATAACAAAAAAAACTGCTTAAAATGATAAATGATAAATTGAGAAAACTGAGCAAAAAATCATCATTTCCATTGCATCAAAATTTTATAGACGAAAACTTTTGATGTTTGATTTTTAAGGTGTTGTGATTTGGTTGTTGATTCTAATAATGAAATAAAACCAAAAATAACGATGAAAATATAAAAATAAAATTTGACGAGCCAAATCGAGAATATTCAAATGATTTTGCCTTCTTCGTTTTTATATGAATGATTAATTTATTTGTTATTAAAATTCTTTTACAAAATTATATTTCGAAATATTGCGATTTTGTAAGATAAACGACGTGCAAAAAATCGTCCTTTTTTACTACTATCAAATTGTTGTAATTTAAATTTGATAGTAAATATTAACGCATAAATAAATATTATTAATAATTTTATTCAAAATAAAATAACCTAAATTTATCGTAAAATTCCCAAAATCACTATGGTTCATGGTTTTTTTTTTTTTTTTATCACTGAGAAGATGCTTTTGTTAGTGAAAAGGAAATTAAAAGAATGCGAAACACATAATAAAAGTCGAAAAAACTAAAAAATTTCAGTTTTCAAGATTTTTTCTCGTTTCCTATCAAAGATCCAAAAAATTCCAAACATTTAATGACAAATATTTTGTATGATGTGGCAAAATACGAAAATCATAGCCAATTAAATTATATTAAATTGATTCACAAAAGTGAAAATTGACGAAAACTGTAATTAGAGGACACGTTGGATCCCGAATTAAGGAGTGTATAAATAGAAAAGAATCCGGAATGGATCCGAAAAAAAAGTAAATGACCAGAGTTCAAAGTTTCTTAGACTTATTTCATTAGAAATTTTTGCAATGGAGAGGGATTACGTTGCGATAGTAATATAATGGATTGATCGCTAGATTTTTCCATGTATAAATACGACCGCATGGAAAGTCTTAAAAAATTTATAGAATAGCAGCCGTCATAAAAATTTTAAACCTTTCGGAAAAAAAGTGTTTTGATAAGTGTTTTAAGTGTTTTGAAATAAAGTGTTTGAAGTTATTTTTTGGTTTCATAATTTTGTCAAATTTCATGATTCAATAAATGAGTTATTTAATTTATATTTGAAAAAAACAATTACAGAGAGTTAAAATCAAAAAATATGAAATTCTCCTTAAATTTTTAAAAATTTTAAAATTTTAAAATTTTTATATTTCTTCAGCATTTTTGATAAATGGAATTTCGAAGAACAACGCAAAATATAAAAGTAATCAACCATTATTATTGGTTGAACTCGATTGTATTATCGGTTGTATTAGATGAAAAATTTTTGTTATGGAAAATACAAGTTGATTTCAAGTTGAATACAAGTTGAGTTGAAGTAACTCTTTAGATTTTTCCAAAAGACTTCGTTTTTAGAGGCTGAGACCGATCGTTGATCGTCGAGACTCTGAGCAATAATCACTCGTCCTTCTTCTTCTTCTGACCACTACTGGTTAGGCTGGCTCCACTGGCTAACAAGGGTAAAACGTCTCCAAGCTGCTCGGTCAGATAACATTGCTAGTAGTAATAGAAGCCATTTCCTTTTTCCATCGTCTTAATCCATATATTGCTGGTCTCTCCATATGTTTAAAATCTTTCCTGATTGTATCAATCCAGGTCTTGACTGGTCCTCGCTTAACTAATACATTACATTATTAATAATAGTAATGTGATAACATTACATTACTAATACAGGCGATATTTGAGCGAAGATAGATACAATCATATGCGATTTTATCCGCTCTACGGATCCGTAAAATGTAACTTAGATAAGAGTGGTCAAAGTCTAATAGCTTCTTAATATCTTCCACTCTCATTGGTCATGTTTCGCAGCGATATAGCAAGACCCAGCGAACTGCAAATATATGGATGAGCATTTTCGTCTTCTTGGTGATTTCGCGACAATTATATAAAGATCCGAAAAAAAATATAAAGGATTCATCAACCGGAAAGCACATTTCTAGTCGTTATTCGGGTTACAATTTCATCCTTTGCCTGGCCATTTGAGAATAGAGTGGATCCAAGATATTTAAAGTCAACCGGCAATCAATTAATAAAATTGGGTATTTTATCAGCATCTTTTTTATAAGACGAAAATATTTTCGTTTTATTTATATTGGTTTTTAGTCCAATTCTCGCTGTAGTTGTTTAACATTATTGTTGACATATTGTTTATCATTATTTGCATTTCCTTATAACTGTCACCAAATAGGACCACATCATCAGCGTATTCAAGATAATCTGGACAATACGGTGCTCTGAAGTGATTTGGACACTTCTTGAGTGCCAACAAGCGAAGCCCATTGTAGAAGAAAGGACGTACCCTTGACGACAAAGTTTTTATTTCGAAAGTCAATCAATTCTCCATAAACACAGACCTGTGCCAAGGTGCTGATAACATTAATAATAACGATAATAAATTTTATGTTCTTCAATTATTTTATTTCGGAGCCTTTTTGATTTTCCAAGCAGAATAATTTGCAAAAAAAAAAAGATAAAAAGGAATTACTAATCAATAAGATATTAAAAATATGTTCCGATCACAATTTAAAAGGTTTTATAAAGTAAAAGGAAATAAATAAATACAAAATAGTAAAAATTTTATAAATAATAAAGTAATAATAAAGAATAAAAATATAAAAAATGGGTTCCAGGAATCTTTTTTTATTTTTATAATTTTTTTCTGATTTTTTAAAATTTTCCAGCTCAAAAGAATTAAACTTTATAAAACTGCCATATGTTATTTTCGCTATTTTGTCATTTGAGCGATATTTCTTTGATTATGCTTCGATAAATCATTTATAGCAGATGCTTAATTGCACCATACGAATGCACCAA